CCCCTGATATTAAACCCCCTACTATTAAACTATTAAACGTTCCCAATATACTGTAACATACCACATGATGGGGAGTATTTAGCATGTGGGGGAGGAGGGGGTTAATGCCCAAGTCCCAGACTCGGGAAAAGTTAGGACTAGAAATAGTTTGAAAATGGCGGTTTCACAAAATTAGGCATGCATTTTTGGGGGTTCCCTTTTAGAAGGATTGTAGTACTTGGGGCTCCTATTAATTCGGGGAAACTAACAAATGGGTTTATGGCCGTTTAGATGTCTTTGGAGTACCATTTAACCAATGTTACATAGCTTAGGGGTTAGGAATGGCTATTAGCAGTTCTAGCATTTTGGTGGTGGCACCAGTCTGGCACATGCCCGGAGTTGAGACTGTGCCAGTACACGAAAACCTTGACAGGAAAAACCCGAACCTCCACTCCGTCATACCAACCCCCTCGCAGTAAACCTCCCCCCAATCAAAAAGGCCGTGAACCATTTTGAACCTTCAAGTCCCAAACCCGGAAACTTTCTTTAGGAATTCCCAGGCGGGATCCGCCCGGCGGCATGAAACCCAGTCCGGCAGTCGAGGTTCGGATCTAGGGTGAAGGGTAGAGGGTTTAGGTTGGAGGGTCCGGGTTTTAGGGTTCAGGGTAGAGGTAGAAGCTTGATGGCAGGGGTTAAGGTTGTCTTGACATGGAGATCCTGGGTTCCCTGACTTTGTGGAACTCCTTGATAGCCAAACACACAGCTGCGAAGGTGTTCAACTAACAGCCTGTCTTCAACAGCTAGCAACTAAACCTTAAACCCAGATGAGTAGTATTTAATTTGGGGATAATATGGTACCCACTATAGAGTAAGATGGCATCCTCCTTTTGAGGTATAGTATTCTATATAAGGAATATAATCTTACTAGGTTCAACCACCAAAAAAACACTACTCAGATGGGGAGGCAGGATAGCTCTTGGGATGTTCCGCTTCAGGATACGTTTGCTGCAGCACGCCTCCCGAGGAACTTCCACAGCAGCTGCACAATGTGGCAGAAGAGAATGATGGGAATACCAAGTACTGAGGAACTGGATGGGGTTCTTATTTGTGGAAGGAAGTCATGTGGGCGCCACATCCTCACATACCAGTCTCACATAAGCTATAGTCAAAACGCCTACTTGTAGCGTCCCCGTTAAGGGGGCCTATCAAATCCTGCCCTTGCTGCGCAAGACCCTCTGGATGGCACGGCAGAGAGAGAGAGAGTAGGGACAAGCTTTGCCCGCAGAAGAAGAAAGAAAAAGAAAGAACCTCTTTAAGGCGTTTAGATTATAGCTCGGACATAAGATTCGGTGCAAAGTCTCTTCGGGCTTGATGCTGCGAACCTAGATTCCATAATGCTAAGCCCGAAATCCTAAAACCCTGTTGCAGATATTAGGCTGGAGCAACCACCATGCCTGCAATGTAGCAGACCCTAGTATTCCTACAAGTAGGAATTTTCTCTTTGGGCCCATAACGTAACTCAACAGCTTTGAAATTGGAATTGCTCGAAATATTCAACTTGCTACAAGTGGTCCATACTCCCCTTGAGACTCAAAAGCCAGGCCGTGTGGCAGTGGCCGCAAAGGGCTTTGCCACAGCAGCAGAGTCCTGAGGGGTCAAGGGTACGGCGATTTGGACCTTCTAAATTCCAGGGTTGTGCAAAAAAGTGTAGGGCCTATATGGTTCTGTCTAGGTGCGGGAGTGAAAGCTGATACCAAGAGTAGGAGGCTGGGAAACCCGGCTGTTCTTGCAGGTCAAGGAGACATGGGCGGGAACCTGGGCCTTAAAGTGTCCTTGTGGTTTTTGGATCCTCTGCAAGTCTTAGTTAAGAACATGTCCGCCCTGCGTGGCTTGCGGCTGTAAGGGAGTGTTGTGTCTGTTGAGAGTTCGGGGCGCCGTGTGAACACATGTCTTCCATGCTTGCCAAAATGGGGCCTGAGATTTGCAAATAGATCTCGTGACCTGCCCTGGCCCCAAACCATGAAGCCTAAAGCCAAGACTCTGCACTTCACTTTGCCCTCAAAACCGTTAGAGTTTCATCCCGAAAGACTGCATCTACATCAAACTAGCATGGAATCTCAAAATGAGGTCCCTCTCACAGGGCAGAAGTTCAGAAAGGAGCTTCCTTCAGGTTCCATGTTTTATGGGGAAGTCCCAAGGAGTGGATGGAGGACACGACCACAACGGATGATGAGGTGGCGGTTCTGTTCCCAAAGGGTCCATGTAGCTAAATCGTGTACACTCAGTCCCCAAAGTGGCTGTATGGGAAACGCTTTGGGCCTTAAGTATATACTGTATAGTTACATGGACCCTTTGGGTTTGCTTCGTAGGATGAGTATGAGTATGGGGAGTCCGTGCTTTGTGGAGGGGAATGTTCAAGAGAGCAACCATTGCTGTTGGTGTTGCTCTCTTTCTAAGGCGCGCCTCATGACGCATCCAATCGCTATACTCTATGTACACCAGCTGCAGGCAGATGATGCGAGCGAAGAAGCAGCTACGCCCTCCTCCGGATCGAAGCAAGACATTGTGCAGAGGAGCCTGCTGCTCAGGGAACCAGGGTCAGTCGAATTAGTAACTTTTGGAGACAAATCTACCTCAGGAAGGAACACAACTCTGTTGTTCACGTGGCCGTGTGAATTGTAAGCCAAGGCCACTCAGCAGAGTGGTTGAAAGATGAACGAGACAAGGGGCTGAGAGTCTACTTCTGAAGAAGGCTGCAGAATATTGTTTCCCCATTTGTTGCTCTAAATCTCTCGTCTTGTTGAGGGCAATGGATTTGGCTCCGACTGCTCCAAGTGCTTTGCGACATGCATATTTGCAGCTTCTGTGTGAGGTGTTCGCAAGACTCAGAGGGATCTTTTGGGGTACCTCTTGCTATATGGAACCTAGGGTCATGTCGTTCGATGACGTTGGACACAAAGTTAGCACATAAGGCTTCAATCCCACATGGTAGTTTCTCAAAATAGGGGGACCCCAATATAGACCCCCAAATACTATAATCCTTACTATGGGGACCCCAAAAGCTGGGCAAATTATAGCGAGGTCACCCGAGGTCACCCGAAAATAGTGGAATTAACGACCCCGACCCGAGACTGAAACTAACCGACGACCTGACC